CATTCATTCATTCATGTAACACAATCGTAGTTACTACTTCCACCTCACGCCAGCCGAGGCCATCTCTCCTCCCCCTACCTTCCTAGCATAATTTCATACAGTCGAAATGATAACTTTATGGACAAAAATAATAAAAACAAATAGGGTCAGTTAATGAACTTGGAGAGAGAGAGGGAGAGAATGTAACAATCGTTTATGTAAAGTATGAAAGCAATAGAATGAAACAACAACAACAACGAAAACACGAATAACCAACTGGGCCTTGAATATTGGTTTTGCTTATTTCATAATCATCACTGGAAGACTATAAATACTCTTGATATTTGTCTAACTGTCATTTTCACATTTTCCTTGTTTCCTCTTGGTCCGTCTGCTTCTCTTTATTATAGAGGCTTGATGGCTTCAGAGACTGATCCTATTTTGAAGGACTATTGTATACTGACCTTTCTCTCTGCGGGAAGCATACTGAACGCATCCTGTTTTGATAAACTCTGGAGTTTTTTTGATGTGGTCAGCAAGGGTTTCGGTGTCTCATATTTTTGTTAATCATGGTTTTCTCTGTTATGTTTCTCTGGTTTCATGCGCTTTGATTTCTTATCACAAAGCTTCCAGGTTTTTTAGTGTAGTTTTGTAAGGTTCGCTTTCTGTTTTTCTGCTTCAGCCAACGGAGCATTTTAAGCGTTTTATTTCCTCTAGCATTCTCTTTCAATCATTTGGATTATGAGGAGCTTCTTTTTTGCTGTCTACTTCTATACGGATGCCACCCATGCTTCCTCATTCTTTCGCCGTCTACTACTTAACAGTTGTTCCTAAATTGTCAGTCCTTTCCTTATTCCTTCATTCTCATGGAGGCTAGACAGGTTTCCTTCCAAAACTTTTCTTTTCACATTTCAGGGGTTCCCCACTTGAACTTGACACTGAGGGATTCTTGAACTACATGGCGTTCTAAATCAACAATCATTCTCCTCCTCTATCTTTTACTCAGTAGGTAGCGTCTATCACACTGCATCAGAGTTTAAACGGCAGTATTTAATTTCTATTGACCAGTCTCAGCTTGTGTGTATCAAGATAGTGGTATCACAGAGATTAAGAACAAGGCTTCTTCGAGCTATTTCGTCTCCACCTAGTCTAAAGCTTGTTTTGATCAAGGTGAAGCCACTGAAATGTCTTGAATTCCGAAGGAAAGTAACAAAGCGTTAAAGTTCTCTTTAGAGGTGGAGACTAGATTAAATTTTTATGGTCGTGCTCATGTGAACTTGTGGCCTAAGAATAAGAGCCTTGTAAACTATGACCCAACTTTATCATAGAGAAGAATGTTTTGAAATATTTCTTCCCATTGTCATAGTTGGCTATTTTGTGTCAACCTCTCCAATCCCGTGATATTGATAATAATTACTTTATTCTAAACAACAATACATTTTACAGCGATCTAGCTCTTTATACAAGTATGCGAGTACATGAAATTGAAAAATAACAAAATCACCAAAAACTGAAAGTTTGTGCAGCATAATGAACTATCAAGAGATAATATAATAAATAGTACATTTAGTAATAATCTTTGCTTGTATTTTGAAGTTTAGTTATTAATTTAAAAAGTTTATAGGCTTCTTTCCGGAAATCCCTTCACACAAAGCCCGTGCCGAATTCGGTATGGTGGAATTTTTCTTTCTTGATGTAATCACATGAATTCTTATGAAATTTCTTCCGAAAAGATAGAAGGAAAAAAATGTGAGTAAAGTGGATGTGTAGCGTCAGACACGACTACTTTAGCCTATTACTTGTAAGGATTGGAATACCTAGAAAGAAGTGTATAATAGTTTAATCAGATGTGTACCACTATTCTTATTTAAAGCCCTAAATTTTCTACCTAATACAACATAGTCCTTTTTAAAGAAGTTCAAAGAAGAATAAGGGCGAATATTAAAAAGTAGTGAGCAGGATGCATCAGTTAATAAAACGTACGACAAGAGATTGATTTATCACAGAATGTTTCGACCTTTTTATGCAATAAATCAAGCAAAACATTTTCTCAGAAATCGGCAGGACGTGAGAAAATCAGCAGAGACTTGAAGAAAAACGGATGCTGGGATAAGAGGCATTCAAATTATTTCCTGTCGGAGTGCCATCATTGTTTTGAATATCATGGAACTGGATCAGTCCACGCAAGTTTTTTAGCACTTAAAACTAAAATTGATGGATTCAGTTTAAGACCACTTAGGTGGGACCATTTGTTAATTTCAGATAAGAATATATGCATATATATATCAGAACAATCCAGTGCAGAAACTACTGGAACAGAGATGGTTAGATCACCGGCAAGTTTAGTGGGATTGCGGCGAGAGCTGTCTGCAAGCCAAACCTGTAGACAACAATTAACGTCAGTGTTTACGTCCCAAATCTTGTTCATGAGAAAAAACAAGAACAGAGCTTAACCTTGAGGAACTCAGTCGCATCAGACTTAGCGTAGATGGATGCGATTTTCAGGTATATCACCTGACTGTCTAAGAAATGGCAACAAGGAGATGATAGAATAACCTTTAACAGAAAAACCACCAATCAGAAGACGTTACTTCTCTGCTAACAGTAAAGCTAATAATAATGTACATAAAAATCTATAAATATCTGTTGATTTTCTCAATAAACGATCTGTTGCCGAGCCCTTGCCTCCTTCCGTTTCAGGATTAGATCTGGAACAATGTGAAGGGTTATGCGGAAAAATGGAGAGAGTACTATGCCTCAAGTGACACCAGTTTCCGTCAGAAATGAAGTGGAGCGCTTTCCATTTAAGAGAGTATATCATTTCCTACCTGAGAAATAAGAAGCCAACGTGTGACCCAGGACTCAGTGCGTGCTGAAATCGAGCAGCCTGGTAAGAGTGCCCTACAAATAGAATAAAAAGCAGTAGTGTAGTCTAAAAAAGAGGCTTTATGCCTCTATCAAGACTCGAAACAATATTTTAGTAGCATCTAAAGTGTTTCTGCTGCACATATAAGCAAACTGCTTTACGTTACTAAAACATTCCGACGAAGATGTAAGATCATGCAAGTGGAGTTTCTCGATAGTTCTCAAAAGTGGAGACGTAATGGCGATTGGCCTAAACTTAAAATCTGATCCAGAAAAGGATTTCAGTTGAGGCACCACCTTTATTTCTTTTCAGGCAACAGATGTATCCCTACAAAGTGAGGATTCTTCCTTAGGTGTTGAGAATGACTCAACACGATGGCAGTATATAGTGGTAAACATGGCTTGTGGAGAGGCCGAGCACTTGAAGGTCACTCAGGTATATTGTAATTGGTAGAATTTCCTTTGCGTAAACGTTGTGGTTAATACGTAGTACAAGTTATTGAGGCGTGATTTGAAATAATAATGATAATAAAATCACATAGATATTATATTTTTCAGCTTAAAGGGACAAGTTAATGCATGCATACATTTCACAGATATGATATGCATTAGATCCACTAACAAAAATAATATTATTGGATAACTTAATCAAAGAGGTATGAAGTTTGAAGATTTAGTATTTTTCAGTTGGTTACAATGGAAGGATGAGACGGGTGGTTGTGTAATAATTGTTTTTTTCAGGAGAGAAACTGAGGTAGATAAATCATAAGTCCTATAACTCTCCAAATCTATCTTGGAATATATCTATAGAATCTCACCTAATCTGCAATTGTTTCCTTCCTTCTTCTCAAATTAATTGCGACTAAAATAAGGAATTGTTCACCTGAGGTAAGATTAATTCACCTGATATGTATACATCCTCAGATATTTTCCAATACGGCCGAAGGTAGTCGAAGGAACACAACCTCAATATTTACCCGGAAAGATCGTGTCCAGTCTCTGCTGGTGATGAAAACTACAAGGACTTGTCCAGCTCCACTACCAACTGAGGGAGACTGGTCCACATCTTGTGGATAGAATGATTAGTTGACTTTATGTTGACTATGATGCAGCTATAAAAAATCTACAACTGTGACTTTTTTCACTGAAATGTTATAAACTCTTTTAATGTAAATATGTATGCTTTCGCAATAAATTATTTTTAGTTTGGTTGACCACTGTTCCGTTGTAAATATGTGCATCCCTGTCGGCTTCCTGCATTTCTTTTACTTATCATTTCGAGGACATTACATAGTTAACAAGAATGATATGTGAAATGCGTCACAGGCTTAAACCATCATTGTTCCCTCAATACATGATCAAGCCTTGAGGGAAATGTCTCAGTTACATTTAATCCGGCTGCACATATTATTAGTATTCATCAGTGTTAAGAAGAAAACAGCCGTCGAACAGGTGCTTGTATTGTAATAACGAAATATAACCTAGCAAACGTAGACCGCACACGGAGACGATCTGTAGTGATAGTCTAGGCACTTCATGCACGTTATGAAATGTATATTCTATATATCATAAGTAGTGTATTATTCTTATGTTGCGTATAACAGCACTGTATCAGAGGAAGTCTTAGGTAATAAAAAGACGACTACATCACTCTTCTTGTGTTAGCATTTAGTATCAGTGTGCTCTAATATGATCACATTGACACTTAGACTTATGCATTAGTTGACCCCATCGCTCAACTTCATTAATTATTTTGTTAACGTAAAATACTATAACTGGTGTGCAAACTACCAGCCGAAGTGATTACTGAAAATCAATAGAAGTGCCTCATTACACCCATTTCAACTGCATGCAACTATGACTTTTTACGCGCACTATGTCCTCTACGCTGACACCACTTTTCACTTAGACAAACAATAGATGTATATGTAAATGTAGAAATGTCTTGCAAACTTTTTGTAAATATTTATTTCGACAAATACAGTCAAAATATCACAAATTTTTCATCATTCACACACAGATCCTTTGTTTACGCTTAATGAAAGCCTAAACTCATATTCCTTTACAGCTGTGAAATCTTGTGAAAATTATGAAATTTTCACAAGCCTTAAATTTAAGGTACTTCTTAATCAATTAGGAAAAAATGTAGAATTTACCTAAATCGTTTCTTATTTCATGCCGTGATTAACACTTTATAAAGAGTTTCAGCATTCCTGATGCACTTTAACAAGTCAGTTTTATGACAAATAGATGTTCAGTCAAAATGATTAAAATGACTACTTTCCCCCATTTTCGCAAGTTTCTTGGTTAAAATGTAGTAATTAAATGCATTTCAGTCGGAAGACCGCCTGAAAATAACGTAAAATAACCCAAACGAAACATCACGACAACAGGTGATTTCTACAGCTATGAACTGAATGTGTGCCCAGGGCCATGTGCCCGCGAGTGAGATAAACAAATGATTTACACGCTTGTGATTGGCCAGTTTGTCGTTGCAGTTGCGGTAATTTCAAACACTATTAAGATGCTTGGTGGGCAGTCTGTAGACGGCCGTAGGTCATTTGATCAGCTGATGGATATTGGCGTTATTTTTGGAAAAGACGTCAAGGTTAGGTCATTTTTCGTTGTTTTACACACTTTTTTACATATATTCCTCCTAAAAGTTGATGAAATATGGCGTATTTAGCAGAAATGGGCAATGGTGGTGTCCTTATCCGGCCGTAGCTTACAGGCAGTTTGCAGTTTGTTGGAAAAACGTACTTTTCCTTTCAGAATATGTCGCATTACTGGAAGACACGTGTTATAACGACCATTTCGTGAATTTTTTTACATTTTAATGGATTACACATGGACATGATTTTTTTTTTTTTATTTTTTTTATTTTTATTTTTGATTACAGCTTGATTCCACACTGTATTTTTGGTACAAGTATGGAATTTTCAGCATGGATATCGGTAGCCCAAATTTCGCAGGCCAACCATAGATATCAGGTGTGCGTCGGCGTGGGCTCGAACCCCAGACCATGTGCATGGTCGGCGAGAGTCCTAACCACTGTGCCACCGACGCACATGAGGTGGGATAGCTCGTTTTGGTAATTATTTCATTTACTTTATTGTGTACATATCCTAATGCTGACAAGGCTCCTCCACATGCAGAAATACTTAGAAATTATATACGCATAGTATTTCCTTATTTTATGGCATTAACTTGACGTTTGCAGGCAGATGCAATATCGATTTTGTATTACTGAAAAATGTTTACTGACGTAATTATATACAATTCAACTAATTATTTCGTCATTTCAAACATATTTCGTGGTTAATTATTGTGTTTACACTGATAACAATGTCTACATCTGTATAATTCTTATGTTCTTTTTCAGATGATATCTACTTTCGGGAATTTCATGGATTTGGGTGATAAAGAAAAAGATACCTGCACTGTTTTCGATTTTGTATTACATGTTAATTCATTAATAAAAGTATTCCTCGTTATTCGTTTGTTTATTCTACTTGATAAGACCGAATATTAGCCCTTGCGTAATTTGTGAGGTATAGAGTATGTGAGGCTGTCTTTGAAATACTAAGTAGGACCACTATGTTGTAGTCAAATAAAGTAAATATGCCTAAATCTTAGAAGAGGTATTGCGATTATAAAGCGTTTTGAGTTATCTATTTTCTTAGCAGAATACATATACTTATTCGCGATTCATAGTCACAAAGTGAGAGTAAATCTACCTGAGATAGTTTGCTTGCGATTTCTGCATGTCGCAGTGTACCATAAGAAGAGACTGTACCTATGCTGTTAGATGTATGACTCAGTGCAACTACGGTTATCGTTATAATTAAAAACAGAGTGCCTAGGGTTCTCAGCCAGAGAACACGATAAGTTGCTATCTGCTCATATAATCACGTAAACAAAAGTCTTCCAGACGCCGCATTTACTCCTAACAGTTTACCCTCAACTTCTAACTTAGCTCGTGCTACTTATGTTACTGGAACACAATCACGTTACAACAGAAGGAAGACAGATTCATAGAAAAATTGTTTATTAAACAAAAGTCAGATTTCAAATGTACAGATAATTCAGATGAGTAGTCCTCTTTTACCGCCAATAAGTATCTGCGTACACGGCATATATGCTTTTTCATAAGTCTGAAAAGGTTTAAGGAAAGCATAATTAACTTGGGTATTATATGTATGATATGAATAAAAAAATTTTCCTGATAATCATTGACAAGTAATCACTTTACAAACAATATATATATAAGTAGCCAAATAGTTTTCACTAAATTTAAGGGACTTTGCAACTTATCGTTGGTCGATATCTAGAAGTTCAATCGAACCATCATGAAATGATAAAATTATGTAACGACAAGTTATGCAGTAGTTTTTAAAGTTTGTAGAAATATTTTAGCAAAAATGACAACCACTTTATGACAAATAATAGGTCTTGACAGCAATAATAAAATTCATGTTCATAGTGAATATTATAACAATAATAGGTATTGTCAGTGCAGTTGAAGATTGAACGATCAATTCATGGTTGTTTGCTCAAACCCAACTTCACCAACTTTCGCGGAAGCATCAATCAGCCAGTCATTGTCTGATCAGTTGCTGTTCAGAAAGAAGTCAGGAGACAACCATCAGAAGTAATATTGTGATTTATTATTGTAATATTTGTTCATAGACCCTAGTTGTACATTGGCTATAGTTTGGTGTTAGAATAAATAATTCTTGAGTCGCCAAACTGGGTTCTGGTTTTTGCGTCAGTTCGTACTAAGCGTTTCTGAGAAGCTTCGAGGCACAGCGTGAGTCCCAGCGTAGCAAGAGCTGGGCATTAACGGTTTACGAGACGTGGCTGACAGGTATTATTATCGCAACGAATTCATCACTAACTTAGACAACTAATAATAACACAATCATGTCAAATAAATATATCACCTACTTTTGAGAAGCATGTGTTTACTTACTTTCATTGTATTCTATCAGTGCTGATGTGCTCAACAAGCTTATTCCCACTGAATTTAAGATTAACTCTGAAAGTGAGTGAAGATCCAGTTTATGTCAAATAAAAACATGTAACTTACATGTATTACACTGCTTACTGAGACATCTGGTACCTGCTTTCCGATCTTCGTGACAAGAACACAGTTTATCTAGGTTTACCTACATATACATAAGTATACGTATATGCTGCGTCAACCATGCCGTTTTTATCACAATTAGCCAGACCACTGTGTACATTATACTCATTTAAGGATCTCTGAAAATAATGGTCAAGCGATAATTGAAGTTGCGTGAAGTTATTACTTCTTCAGAACATTATTTGCATTCGTGACACTCCTGAGAAGTCCTTAGATCTTAATTTGGCGTGAATTCGTTGAATTCAGAAAATAAATCCACTTCTGTATCATTTCTTTCCTGAGCTGTAATAATTTGTGTTGTTAGTTATCTCTCCAATTTGATAAAACACTCACGGAAATTCGGAACTTAACCAAGCATTAAAATGATGTTTGAAATTACCTCAACTCGAATGACAACCTGGCCAATCACAAGCGAGTGAATCGCTTGTTTATCTCACTCGCGGTCACTCGAAATTTCGGCTGTCGACAGGGTGCCTGCTTGGTGAACTTCGCAGTTACCAGGAGCGTTTTATCAAGTGACGTGCATAACTGACAACACACACTATTACAGCTCAGGATACATGTGACATACTAGAGGATTTATTTGCTGAATTCAGTGAGTTCATCCCATGTCAATATCTAAGGACTTCGCAGGAGTGTCAAGAATGCAAACATTGTACCGAAGCGGTGATAACTTCAAGCAACTTTAATTATCGCTTGACTATTATTTCAAGAGATCCTTAGATAAGTATGAAATTCACAGTTGCCCGGTTAATCACGATAAAAACGGCATGGTTGAGGCAGCATACACGTATACTTATGTGTGTGTAGGTAGGGTGTTGATAAGGCATATCCCCTATTTGAAGTGGCGCCTCTGGCTTAATCTTGACGGCATTTGCGCAGTTTCGTTGATTCTAGTTGTAGCTAGTCGTCCAGCAAACTCAGTAGACGCGGTTTCGGTGCTTATTTTGCTCTTGTTGGATGAATTTATATGAAAATTATTGTTCCATATTGTCCTTCAGCATTTACTGATTCCTTGTGTGACAGGACGCTTAAATACATGGTTCATGCAGTGATTTTTGGCATACCGAGTACTGTATACTGTATTCCTGTCACGAAGATCGCAAGGCAGATATCAAATGTCTCAGTAAGCAGTGTAATACATGTAGGCTACATGTTTTTATTTAACATAAACTGGATCTCCACTAACTTTCAGAATTAATCTTGGGTTCATTTGGAATAAGCTAGTTGTCAGCCACGTCTCATAAACCGTTAATGCCCAGCTCTTGCTACGCTCGGGCCAAGGCTGTTCCTTGCAGTTTTCCAGAAACGCTTAGTAATAACGGACGAAAAAACCAAAAGACCGATTGGAGACTCGAGGATTCTTTATTGTTACACCAACATATAAAAATGTTTTTACTAGGGTCTGTGAACAAATATTACAATAATAAATCACAATATTACTTCTGACAGTTGTCTCCTGACTTCTTTCTGAACAGCGACCGATGAGACGATGACTGTCGTATTGATGCCTCCACGAAAATTGGGGAAGTTGGTTTTGAGCAAACAACCAAGAATTGATCGTTCAATCTTCAACTCCATTGACACTCCCCGCCAATATAGGGATCCATCCCTTTTTTCCATCACGACCAATACACGTTGAGTTGGATGCCATTGCGAGAACCTGGGTCACACGGACAGAGCTGAAATGGAAAACAAACAGAAAAGCCAACACACTACAAGCATACCCACAGCACAATCTCACACATCGATGACGACCTGCGCCTCCAGATAGAGACCTCCTCTTGACATCCTGCAACACAATCGCCGCTTGCTAGAATGACTCTTGCAGAATGCAACGTGACCATAGCACCAACTCATGATACTCTACGCACATCCTCTTATCTACTCACTACCAATTACCACTGAAATCGCTTGTCACTCATTCTGCCTCAGTTCTAGTAACGGTGACGCATGCGAGCCTCAGTCGTTTACACTCTTTCTCCCCGGCGTGTCGGACCGCAGCTAACAATTATCTCCGTATGCATTTCATTCTCAGCAATAGCCTAGCCTCCCCGGCGTATACGACCC